TCTGCAAAAATTATCATATTTGTTCCTCTATATGTAGGATGGGGCAAAAGTTGATTTACAGTTGTTCATATGAAAAAGAATACAATAATTAATAAATAATAACACAAGAATAAACGTTGTTTTGCATACTCACAAACCTACCTTTGTCCCACCCTGTATTTTGGTGCATTTTTAAGTATCAAACCTTTTCTTCTAGAAAAACAATTAAGATGCCTGTCCTAAAGTATGTCACAAGGCACTACAAGGTACTTGGAAAAATTATTTCTAAAAGAGCTGTGAAAGAAAAACATAAAAATGTTACACAGACTCAGAGCATGACGGTGCTTTTCTGGCATTTCACCAAGGAGGGGAGAGGAGGTTTGGCATCATAGTAGTCTGCATGAGCACGCACATGCATGCACACACTCGCACACATGCTTAACACCTGCCCTTCCAAGTGCTTGGGCTGTCACACCCATCCTCCTACTTTTTCCCAGTACCAATGGGCTTTCTGTAACCAGGGAAACAGTCCTGATTCTCATCCCAAAGAAATTTTGAGAAGTTTTGGCACAAGATAAAGCAGAGAAATGCATCTGCAAAGCCCTCATTCCTTGGCCATCTCAACTGCCTTGCCCTTGTAGGTGGCATGTGCTAACAAGCTGCAATGGCAACGCCAACCCCAGACTTGTGTCAACAGCTGATTTCATTTCCCCCTCCCACTGCTACCTGGCCACCCCACCCATGCTTACTTGTCCGCAATTAGAGGAATAATTGCACCATATGCTTTGGGTAAGCAATTATTAAATGTTCAGAGGACAATGACCTGCAGAAACTGTAGCACTGAAACGGAAATCACTGGGGTTTGAATCTGTGTGTACTCTCAGAATAAGAGCACCAGCTTTTGAATTCCCCTTCTTTGTCCACTCTGGAGGTTGGAGCTGAATGCAAGACTCTTGAAGCCTGTGTACTTCGCTTGTTCAGTTCGAAATCCAGAAAAAAGGGCTGGGACCATGGAAGCAATCTGATAGTCCATAGGCTTATTGTCGCTAGGGCCTTATTTTTTCTTAATGTTTATTATCATGTTATAACAAATAATTTAAAAAGTGATAAATCTCTTTCTGTTTGAATGATAGGGGCTTGGGTATGTTACTTTTTTAAAAAAAGTATATTTTATTGAAATTTTACAGAGAGGGAGAGGGATAGAGAGTTAGAAATATCGATCAGCTGCCTCCTGCACACCTCCCACTGGGGATGTGCCTGCAACCAAGGTACATGCCCTTGACCGGAATCGAACCTGGGACCTTTCAGTCCGAAGGCCGACGCTCTATCCACTGAGCCAAACCGGTCAGGGCTATGTCACTTCTTAATTAGGCAAAAAACCCACAAAAAAACCAAAACCCTAAATACAAAGATAAACTCCTAAGATTTGGAGGAAAACCATTAGGTCAAACACCAAAATTACTACAAATCCCTTACTCATCTGATTGAAGAGCTAGCCCCCCTAGGGCTAAGAACAGCATAAAATGTCTTCTGGGCTATTAGGATGGTAAGATAGGGGCCTGTTACAGCCATGAGTTTTTGGCTTCTAGAACAGAGATTCTCAGCTGGGCGTGGCAGAATCTATCAGAATGATCTGAGAAATTTAAATTTCTTGCCTCGCCCCTGTGTTTACACATTTATCCTTTGTTTCCTGTTCTAAAGCAAGTTTCCTATTCATGAGAAAACACGCCTCCCTCAATGGGCACTTCCCTCTACAAACACTCTCTCAAGAACCAAAAAGGGCTTCTGGAGAAGAATCATCCTTGCTCAGGTCTACTTATTTCTTTGAAAGCTGGCCAGAATTTTGATAACACCAATCTTCTTCAATTCTACCTATTATTAGTGGGGAGCCTGTCAGGCAAGGATTATGGTCTTCAGGCTTTAAAAGGATTGCACACCAAAAGCTGAGAGCCAAAGAAACCTCAGAGGCTAGCCATGTGACTCAGGACCCTCAAGGTCAGGAGTAAGGTTCAGGGAGTTTCTCTGCTCCAGGAACTGCTGCTCCTCCCAGCTACAAGCGCAACCTTAGGAGGACATTACCACATCTCTGGGGGTGGGTATGGCGAGTGTAACCTAGTTTACAGCATTCGTTTATTTTTTTCTTGGAGAGAAAGCAAAGCAATGTATTAGGTACAGGAGACATTAGGAAAAGCAAAACTTCTCCCAGTCTGAACTAAAGGGATTCATTCTAAGGAGTGGAATTTTCTAATGAAAACAAACCGGACCACAATGCTGACATCATTTGTCATGGTGGATTCCCCGGAGTATTGACATCAAGGTGTTTGGAAGGGGCCACGGGAATCTCCAATTTGTGATTTAATTCATGGCGGACAAGCTGGAGGCATCTACAACTCTACATTGGGTGTACAGTAGGGGTATTTCATGCATATGTTGAATCATTATCAGGATTATGGACTGCTTCATTAAACATAATGCACTGAAGTGAAAAACTACAACTCTGATGAGTGATTTCAAGGTCACCTTGAAATTGGGAATATGACTTACTTGTAATTTTAAAGTGTTTAACGGGTTTTCAGATGCAAAACTGTTTAAAAATGAGGGTCCCCACTGAAACAAAGCGAATGTGTACCCATGAATAGGAAACTGCCTTAGGGAAGGGTATTAGAGGGAGGTATAAGCAGGTCCTTCCCTAGATGGAAGAGTATGAGTGGCAGAGAGCCCGAGGATCAGTGCTAAGACTGGTTTAATAATAACCTAGAAGGTGTGCAGGATGAAAAATGTAAGTATGCAAATAAAGTTTATTCTGGAAATGCTAGTCGTAAGAATAACCCCTTGAGGATAGGAGGGAAAATCATTCAACACAGGCAAGGTAAAAGCAGTGAGTTTAACGAACTCTGCGATGAACCATCCTTAAAAGATCGTGAGCTGTCAGTCACAGTGAAAGTAACAGATCTTGGAATCACTGTAAACTGTTTCCTGGTGACACGGAGTCCTTGTTTTGATGGTGAAAGCATCGAATGTGAGGCATAGAAAGACGGGATACCAGATACAACACAAGAGCATTTTTCTACAGTGTCACAGGCAGCTACACCTGGTCACTGTACTGTGTGTCTTCTGGACACCGCACCTTAGAAGCAGAAATAAGCACGTGTCTGTGCCCTTCTTTTGATGTATTTGTTAATACAAGAGGTGATGCAAAGTGAAAATATAGCTTCTTCAAGATTGATATGGATAAATTTAAGGAAGATAAATTTAAAAATAATGAAGGGAAGCAGAGTTTCTTAGGCTACATATCACAAAGTTTGTGTCCCAAGCAATGGAGAGTAAATTTAGAGAGCACAGTAAGAATTCCCTACAGGCCAGGGTCATTCAGTAATGGGTGGTGTTTTTCTAAGTGAGATCCAAATCTCTACGAATTTTTACAAATTTATGTTTTTACTGATTTTTTTTATTGCTTAAAGTATTACAAAGGGTATTACATATGTGTCCATTTTTCCCCCCCGCCCTAGACAGTCCCCTAGCCTCCCCTATCCCCCAGTGTCTTATGTTGCCTGCCCGCTGCAGTTTGACAATCTGTTTGAGGCAGCTCTGCCTCTGTATCTATTATTGTTCAAAAGTTTATAATGGTCTTTATTATCCATGAATGAGTGAGATCATGTGGTATTTTTACTGATAATTTTTTAAATCAATAGAAGAATAGTACGATGATAAACAGGGCTGACTGTCACAAAGCTGAGTGTTAGCCATAGTGCTCCATTTTGCATTTGTACTCAGAGTATACTGATAAGAGGTGGTATCAGCTTATGTGACAAGAGCTAAGGACCAATGATCTAGGTTCACTGGGTAAATAAACATTGTGTTAGTGCCCGGTAAAAAAGTCAAGTGCCATCATGGCACACTATCTGAGGAGATCTGAGGTTTTAGAGCAGATTAAATAGAGAAATGCAATGGGTAAAATGAATCATCAGCAAGTCTCGGTAGGATAAGCATACCTAAAGCAACAGGGCTTGATCAGTACCACATGTATAAGGTTGACTTAATTCCAGAAAAATAGCATTCTTCACAATAAATGACTTGTTGAATTTGAATGTTCTTGGTCTAAGCAGTGTTATTTTATTTTTAATCCTCACCCTAGAAAATGTTTTTTTTTTTAAAAAAAATACATTTTATTGATTTTTTACAGAGAGGAAGGGAGAGAGATAGTTAGAAACATCGATGAGAGAGATACATCGATCAGCTGCCTCCTGCACATCTCCTACTGGGGATGTGCCCGCAACCCAGGTACATGCCCTTGACCGGAATCGAACCTGGGACCTTTCAGTCTGCAAGCTGACGCTCTATCCACTGAGCCAAACCGGTTTTGGCTAAAATGTTTTACTTTTTGTAGAGGGGAAAAGGGAGAAAAGAAAAGAGAGAGAAAGATCGATGTATGAGAGAAACATCTATTGGTTGCCTCTCCCATGCTCCCCCACTGGGGATCGAACCCACAACCTAGACATGTGCCCTTACCAGGAATTGAACCAGCAACACTTCAGTGCATGGGACAATGCTTCAACCAACTGAACCACACTGGCCAGGGCTAAGCAGTGTTATTTTTAACTTCAATTTGTGATTTGTTGTTCTGGCTTTCCAGATAAATAATAGCTATCAAAATTTTAAGCCTAAATTTATATTTGTAAAAATAAAGTAACTCTTGGATAGTTTCTTTTTTTCTTTAAAGGGGAGACACACTGGAACCAAAGGATTAAATTTGTTAAGGTGATTCTTGTATTATATCCTAATGTTTATATTTGGATACTAATCTGGATCTGCCTGTATTGTTAGGTAAAAGAATAGAAAAAGTATACGCTTGTATTTCTCCTGGTTGTTTGATAGGGATCATCTTACATGCATGACAAAGGACAATTTATTACTTGGGTAAAGATGCATGACACCAGTAAGTGCACAGTACTGTGTGCTTAAATTATAAATTGTGTGTGGAGGAGGCTAAAAGAGAAGAATTTTATTATCTATACTAGAGGCCCGGTGCATGAAAAGTCATGCACTGGAGGGGGATTCCCTTAGCTTGGCCTGCTCCCTCTCACAGTCTGGAAGCCCTCAGGGACGGGAGGCGACCTGGCGATCAGGGGAAGGCAATGCCCCATCACACCTCTGCTGCTGCCACTGCCGGCAGCGCCTCAGCTGGCCCTGGGCGGCTGTGGGGCTGAGGGATTGGGGGGATTCTGGAGGCAGGTGTGCAGAGCAGCCTGGCTGGACTAAGGGGACTGGGCTCTGCCATCTTGTGGCTGTGGGCGCAGCCATCTTTGAGGGTGGGGAAGTCAATTAGCATATTCCCTCTTTATTAGATAGGATCATTTTACATATTAAATTTATGTTTCAGATTCTTATATAATCATTAGTGATTATATAACTTGGTGATTTTACCTTTGAAGAGAGTCAGTTAATGTATCAACTAACTTAGGTTACACAGTGGCTTAAATGAGCCTATTCTTTACCATAATGATGGTGTTCACTCTGTGATGCTTTTTATTCCTTTCTAAGAATCTCTGAAATCAATGAACATAAATTACAACAGTTGGGAACAAATATTTTATTTGAAGAATGATCTGTGACTAAAAGAATAAAATACCATATAACCTCCATGTTAGGTAATTATGACAATAAATTTACTCAACATAATTGAAAGCTTATCATTAAGATCTCTCTCAGGAAAATCATTATCTTTGGTGTTATAGTGGGCAAAATAACAAAATTTCACTGTCACAGAAAGACGTTAATAGATATAAATTGTGGACATCTTTGGATGATATCTTTTCATTGCTGTCAATCATGCCATAAAATGTGTAGTGTGCATTTTTAGATTTTAAAAAATTAACTTGAGGACTGTCAATTTTCTGATGGTAGCAGAGATTTTGGCATTAGAAACTGGAAAACTCATTAAAATAATTAAATTCTGAAAACGAAAATAAGTCATAGCTGAACATTTGAACATTATTACAGCTATTTCTCAAGTTCTCCATGATTATGTTATTAGCTACAGCTATGACTGCTCCCACTTTTCATTTTTGAGTGGGCTCTTACGATGTTGTCGATATAAATGCAAGGAAAGAGAAAGGCAATCTTTCAACACATGATTGTTGACTGTTACCAACTGTTTGAATCTTCAATAAACCCTACTACTACTAACATAGCATAAGAATTACTGGTATAGAAATTAATTTTACTATGGGACAAACACTGCCTCATTAAATATTATAGTAAAAATACAGCTGTTATATACCATTACAGGGTGTGCATATGGTCTAGATCATGTTAAATATAAACAGAGAAAAGTAAATTTTTTCTTGTAATTTTCTTTAATAGTCACACAAAACCCTCACTATCATATTTAAAGATGCCAAAAAAATTTTTTTTTAATATTTTCCCTTTCTCACAGAATTACTAACTCAACCAAAAATTAATGAACCTAGATAAAAATGAATCCTAATGTTAAAACTCTGAAATCCCATCAGGCCAAGGAAATTCTGCTGGGACTGGGTGGGGGTTAAAAACAGTAGTGTCTGTCCTAATGCATATCAGTTAAAAAGGCCCCAATCGCTTGACTCACCTTTCCACAGTCACTGTTGATTGGTGTGAGGTAACCATATGTGGGCTGGCTGCTGGGTCTCCATTTCCTGGAGAGTTCATCATACCGGGAAGTGCAGAGACTGCTGGACGTGGCAAAGAAGATGGAACAAAGGGTTATTCATACCCTACTGTCAAACCCACACCCCAGGAGCGAGAATGCCTGACTCTGGCACTGGCTCTGCTAGTTATCAGCTGTGTGACGTTGGGCAAGTGACAAACTCTCTGCCTCAGTTTCCTCACGGATAGTGCCTACCTCATAGGCTACTGTGAGAAGTAAATGTATTAACACATGCCAAATACTCAGAATGGTTTCCGGCACATAGTAAGTGTGAAAACCAGTGTTATTACTTTTGCTTGCACTAACTTGACTCTGGACAAAAGGTATGTAATACTGAAAGCAAAGCAATTGATGACGGCTGCAGTAAGCTGACTTGATTAGACTGTCGCTGAACATCTTTACTGAAGGATTTGTAACAAAGGACCGTGAAATACCTTCAGTGATAAAAAATATGCTTTAAAACTCAGTTTGGTTCTAGTCACACTTAGAATGTCAGGGATTTCATGAACATTACCTGACTGTGCCGCCTTGTTATTCAATGTTCAATGCCAGAGTCCAGTGTAAGTCAGCAATATTGACGACTGACTCTAAAACTGGGGACAGGGTTACTGGACATCTGGTAAACCTTCATAGAGGGCAGAGTTGCAGGGAAATGTGTGGCAGTTGATGGCTTTAGTTTGCTGTGAGAGAATAGCTGAGATAATTCTAAAGAAGTGTTACTTCAACAGCCTGGCACAAATTCAATAACACTGTCAGCGGTACAAAGAGTCTGAATACTGAAGTAAAGAAGTGATTGCTAACTTTAAAAGCTGCCAACATTTGCAAAGCTGGTAATAGGCAGCTTCGGAGAAGACTTCGGATGGGTCTGTAAACTCACCTGCCTGCCCGCCTACCCTAGAATTCTCTTTGGAGTACTGGTAACACCGCTCAGCCCTCAACCAGATGTGGGACCAAGAGAGGAGAAATACTAGTTAGCCAGATAATCCAGGCCTCTTTTTAGTGGTATTAACTCAAACCAATTTTTTATGAATATTAATAAATAAAGATATAACAACTGACAAGTTTAACCTTCCTTCTTGCCTTTTGTTCATTCTCGGATTGAGGTATAAAGATTACTGAAAGAATTGATAAAGGAACAGCAGGGAGGGGAAAGATGAAGAATTAACAATAGGGAGCCAGGCCATGCACATACTATAGCATCAGCCCTCAAATAATCCTGAGCTGGTGCAATTTACATCCTGGTACCCTCATTCTGATGGCTCACTGGGTGCTATGCCTACTTACAGCCTATATGGTACAACATTCTCGAAGACACCTGCTAAAAATGCAATGGTATAAATATCTAACCACTAGGGCTACTCTCCAAACAAATATAATTAGGGCATCTTTAACAGAACATGAAAACCCCACCATAAAGCAATTATGACCAGAGTAACTGGGTAGTTTCTATTGAAATAAAACCTAATTCCACGATACAAATATTTTACATTTGAAAACCCCCAGAACTGACAGAGAATGTTTTTTCACCTAAATAATTTCACTTGATCTTTACTCTGATCTTGACAAACAAACAGAAAAAGAAACTGAGGTATCTCTGGCCCTTTCTTTTCATATTGATATTAAAGATGAGGAAAGAGGAAGACTTGAGTGAAGAGCTATGCACAACTACCCGTATGTACAATCATGAAAACCACGTGGGGTTGTGGAGGGAACAGAATTAGCAGCTGGTGACTTGGATTCCAGCTGTGCAACCTGGCCTGTCATGTACTGTGCATGCCCCTGGGAGGTAGGGACCTGCCTGTCTTGGTCACACTGAAACCTAGCACCTACTACTGGGCCTGGTGCATAGCAGGTCTGTTGATGCCAAGAGAAAGCACCTCTCCCTCACAAGGCTGCAGTGGAAATTCAATGAGCAAATGCATACAGGATGTACCTGACACAGGAAGGGCATTTAGTAAATACTAACTGAATCTAAGTACTAAAACACTAAGGTTATTTTTACTTAAACCAAATCTGGTTTAAAATCACGAAGAAATTAATCTGTCTATACCATATGAATAACTTTCTAATGAAACCTTACCAGATTTTTTTAATTTTAACTCTATCCTGAAGTCAGTACTAAAATAAATACTATTTAAATTCCTTTTTGAGACTTGCCATAAGTACAATTTGTCAAAAATATGTATATTTAAATGAAATTTAATTTTGTAAATGCAAAAAAAAGTTTGTGTGTACACATATATACATAATATATCTACCTATATAGCCATATATAGGTATATATATAGATATATACAAATCTATACACACACACACAGATACACAGAAGACTAAAATGATTTAAGATATTAAGTAGTTCATTTGTGTATAAACAAATGTGAAAAAACATCATCCAGAAATGCTAGAGAGAGTTTTACACAGGGAAAAATGTGTAGACTAGATGACATACACCTGAGCTTCTGTGGATCAATTATATCTTTTTGTTTTTTTTAGTCAACCAATGACCATCTTGACCTCTAGAAAGTCAATTCAAAAATTCTATATTTGAATTGAGTTTTTTGAAATAAATACCTGTTCCTCCAGTGAGAGCTCCCTTGGCGATATCTCCATTTCTCTGATCAACAGTTTTCTACCAAAGAAAATAAGGAAAAAGACTTTTTAATGTCAAAGTTACAAGTGAAGTAAAGAAAAATAAAATAAGCCATTAAGAAGAGCTAAAAATGGCCATCTCAATACCTTATCTGTAGCTTCTGTTCTCCTGGTTCTTTTCATAATCTCCTCAAGTCGCTATAAGAAAGGAAGAATTGAAGGAACAGATCAGATATAGGAAGAAAGCTGGCCTGGCACATTTCCCTTACTAAGCAAATAGCCGGTCATTAAAACACACCTGTTATTTTGAAAAATATAATGCTCCCTGCTTTGTCTTAATTGGAGTTATTCCAAAATGTTAGAACTGCCTTAAACCATATGAATCGGACCTAACTTTTTGAAGGGTGAACTATAAATGGTGATTTCTTTGGAGGAAATTTTAAAAAAAGATTTATTATATTTTTATTGATTTCAGAGAGGAAGGGAGAGAGAGAGAAACATCAATGATGAGAGAGAAGCATTGATCGGCTGCCTCCTGCATGCCCCCCGCTGGGGATCAAGCTACAACCTGGAACCATGACTCCTGGTTCATAGGTTGACGCTCAACCACTGAGTCACGCCGGCGGGCTGGAGGAGGTTTTTAATATTGAGAGTTACTTTAGTTTATCCGGAATGGGCAGAACACGTTTGTTTTCTGATGGCAATAAGCTAGTCTCCAGATCTTTAGATGGCTTCCAGTCTAGAAGGAATCAGGGCCCGTAGAGTCCCGGGTTTCCGCTACCTTCTTTCTCTCCAGGCGCTCCTGCTCTTCTCTCTGGAAATGCTTCTCCCGTTCCTGCCGGGCCTTCTCTGCTTCCTCACGAACACGAGCTTCTTCTTCCTTCTAGAAACAAGAAGTGGGCAGGTGCTTCTTACAAACAGGCTGGTCGGTCTGCTGCCCCAGTCTCTCGGGGCGCCCAGGGAAGCAAGAGAACAGGTGGACAAAGTGCAGAAAATGAGAGCACGCACAAGACTCAGAGCAATTCTAACGGTCCACTGCCCATGTTCCTCTGCTCATCGGGGATGACCCCTGCCCATCCGGTGCCCTGGAACCCCACCTGCTTCTGCAGACGCTCCGCCTCCTCCCGCTCGCGCTGCTCGCGCTCCTCCGCCTGCCGCCGCAGCTGCGCGGCCCTCTCCCGGGCCTGCTCCGCTTCCAGCCGGCGGGCTTCTTCCTCCCGGCGACTTCTCTCTTCGGCCACCCTTTGAGCCAACTCCTCTCTCTTTTGTCTGGAGAAAGAGAAGAACAGAACAAAGACATGTGAGGGGAAATCCTGGGAGAGAGGGGCTCCGGAGTATGGCTACTGCCTGGACACTTGGTTCAGAGTCTGGCAGCAAAGTCCCCACGGGATGCATTCCCTGCTGTTCAGAGACAAACTGTGAAGCCACCTTACTCTTCCTCATCTTCCCAGTCTTCCGTTGCCTTGTGGCAAAATGCAACCGTGTATATGTGGGAAAGAGCTGGCTTTGTAAAAGAATCTGCAATTTATCTCTAAAGGCTGAAACTTATTTGAGGCTCCTTTGTCCCCCCTCCCCCCAAATCTTTGTCAATAAACAAAGGTCAGGATGTTCTGTCCCAGGACAGGAGGAAGACGGCCTATGTGCACATCCTGTCGGGACCAAGCTCCAAGACAGCCCATCCTCCCAGGGTGCAGTTCTGCTTATTTGAAGAACAATTCTGTTGACATTAGCCTTACTAGCCCCAGAAGGAGAGCAACTAAGCAAACTGTCCCTGCAATACTGTCTGGCAGGCAATCACCCGGCACTAACTATCTCTCCCAGCCACCCTCTAAGAGGACTTCTATCTAGAAAAAAGAAAACATGAACTTTTACTATTCAGCTTTAAAATGATAATTAGAAAGGTAATGAAGAAATATGGAGATTAGATATATGTTAAATAAGCAAACAAACCCGGCCTTGTACAATTGTATCTCTACTGTAGCTCTAAGTATGTAAATATATATGTGTGTATATACTTATGTATGAAAAAATATAACTAACTGCACACTATTCACAGAGACTAGAAAGGATTATTCAAAATCGACAAAATTATTGAAAACTGGTGAAGATTGTGGATTTTTTTTCTTTAAATCTTTCTTCATTAATGCTGTTGTATTTGTTAGTATAATAAGAAAATGCGATTTTAAAAAATCAATAGTTACAGGAACACCAGGTAAGAGTAAGTCGGAAATAGTCCCGTTCACCTTTCTCACTGCTACCACCTCTTCTCTCACAAACTGAAGACTGAATCCAAGTTATCAAGGTGTCCCCATATCACTTAGCAATGCCACTGCCTTACCTTTCCAGCTCTTCCCTCTCCCTCTTTTCCCTTTCCTCCTTCTCCCTCTGCTCTCGGGCCAGCCGCCTCTTCTCAGCTAGCAGCCTTGTGGCCTCTTCTGGGTCGGTGGTGCCTGCTGAGGTCTTGGGAGAAGCACTGGCAGTCACAGTTGATGATGGTACTGGGACTGTCGCTGGGGCGGAGGCCGGAGTGGGGGCTGGGGCCGGAGCTGGGGCTGGAACAACTGTAGAAAAAGATATAAGGAGAAAACCAATTGGAAACAAAACCCCAAAAACAAAACAAAAACTAGCAGTCTCTACACCCCAGACCTAGAATTCATCATTATAAAAGGGAATGTTTATTGCCGTGTGTTCTCACGGTTTCACTGTATTCTATCCGTAACCAAGCAACAGATAACAAAAAGCTGCATGTGTATGTGAGACATCCAACAAAGCTGACACTTTTCAACAAGTCTAATTTTTATACAAGTTAAATCAGTTAAGAACATGTGTCATGTCGAATGTGTACTGAGCATAGAGCCTCACATTAGGTTCTGTGGGAAGTTATACCCTGAGTAAAAAGAAGGTGAGATCTTCCATTTGCCTTTGATTAAAATGTAAAAATCCCTCTCTTTAGTGACTGTTCCTCACTAGAGGACTATAGCTGACCATCCTCAGCATCCATGCCACGAGCCAGACTCAGGCCGGGAAGATAAGACCCAATGAAGATGTCCCTTTTGTCTACTCAGAGCTGTGTCCAGGTGGGAGGCAGGAGGAGCCAAGGGCCACTTGAGGAGCTGGCACTCCTATACCTTACACATCCCGGTCCTCACTGTCAATCCTGATGCCAAGATGCAGGATGGGAGCAGAAGTTCTCTGACCTTATTCAGATGCAGGAAAATGACCTAGAGAGCTAGCACAGCAGGCAGTACCACAGAGGCCCCGCGAGGAGTGCGCTCCTGGCACCGACCATTCCAGACGCTCCTGTCAAGATTTACATTTCTCCTTCCACACCCACAGGTTTTTCTTAAGCTCAAGACTCTCTTTGGCCTTTCTCTTCTCCTTTGCATGCAAACACTGGACTCCTCCATTCTCTAACAACCCTATTCGTCTTGAGCCATCAATTCTTTCTTTGCTCCTACCCTCAATCTTCAAATTATCTTCAAATTAAGTGTTAAGGAGAAAACTTTTGAATAAAGACAATTTTCAAACTTTTAAATATCATCTGGTTAGCTGGGAAGAGATGAGATCCACTGGATCTTCTGGAAAAAAAAAATTCTAACTTCTGTCAAACACATGAGCTAAGCCAGGGGTCCTTAAACTCCAGAAGCACAGGAATAGGATAACTGTCCACTTTGTATTTTACCTGGCAATCCTGCACAGGAGTCACCTGGAGAACTTAGTATCTTTTTGAGTCCTTGGATCCCCCACATATTCTGATTCAGTAGGTTTGATGTAGAACCAGGCTTCTGAAGTTTGGAACGTCATAGATATGGTGGTTTAAAAATATCTGCACAAATTCTGTGACAATCCTCCCTTTAAATGGTGGAGACTAATCGCCTCCACTTGAGTGTGGGTTGAACCTAGGGACTTGCTTTCAATGACCAGAACATGACAGAAATAGTGATTTTTGTGTCTCCTAAAACTAGGCGTAAAAGATACTGTGGATTCCTCCTGATTCTCTCTCTTAGATCACTCAGCTTATGGAAAAGCCAGCAGAGCAAGCAGACAAATTGTGAGGACATCCAGCAACCCAAAGGGGAGGCTCACATGGCATGTGGCTGAGGCCAGCTGCCAATAGCCACGTGCATGAGCCATCCTCCAATAATCAGGCTAAGCTGCTTCCAGATTTCTGACCGAGGCTCTGTGTGATATAAAAATTGTTGATTTAAGCTGCACAGTGTTAAGATAATTTGTAACACAGCAACAGATAACACAAGTAATTCTGATGCTGGTGCTCTGAAGACCACATTTTGTGAAAATAATAAAGGAATTAAAAACCATAACTGAATTAATATGCTATGGCTCATCCAACCGTAGGGCTTTGGATGTACAATTCTACTTTCTTTATAGGTAAGAAAACTATACTTAAGAAAAGGTCCCATAATTGGCCTCAGAATAAAATTTCTAATTCCCCAAAAGGGGGATAAAAAAGGCAGGAGAAAAGGGGAAGGAGCAAGTAACCCATATTCCACCACAAGTGGGTTGATTCTTACCAGAGGCATCCTCTGATTCCCCAGCCGTCCCCTCTTCAGCTGTGGCTTCTTCCACCTTCACTAGAGGTATTCGACCCTTTAGTGGGGGCTCATTGGCAACTTTCTGAGGTTCCTTCTCGGGGTCTTTTCTCTCAGGTTCCACCCTGACTTCCCTCTTGACAGGGCGGATGTTGCCAGGGGATGGGGGCCGGACCTGAGCAGGGGTAGCTTTGACTGGTCCGGGAGGCAAGGAAGATGTAGGTCTGGGTGTGCCAGGCAAATGAGGAAGGGACTTGGATGGGAGCCTGGGAAACAAACACACAGCATGAAGAGGAGGGAACATGCCAGAACAGGCTTGCCAGAATCTCCATTCCCCGAGCCCCTCATCATATAATACGGAAAAGAAATGAAGGTATTTAGCCTTGTATATTTGTCTTTTATGTGACAAATGCAGAAATATTCACGTTAAAGGCCCATACCAGTTTTCTTTTTTTTTTAGAGTTCAAAGTAATGGTTTATTTTTTATTGTTTTATTGCTTAAAGTATTACAAAGGGTATTACATATGTGTCCTTTTCCCCACTGCCCTTGACAATCCCCTGGCTTTCCCTACCCCCCAGTGTCTTATGTCCATTGGTTATGCTTATATGCATGCATACAAGTCCTTCCTCCTGCTCCCCAACCCTAAGAAACAAATGTTATTCCCTAAGTTAAGGTCAAACCGTGTAGGGGGAACAGCTTCCTTTCAGGGGACAGAGATAACCACTTCTCCAGCATGGAGCAACCCCGCCAGCCTCTTCCATGCCACTTACCACAGTCGGGGGGAAGCTGGTGATCTGGCTTTGGGATGAGATGGAGACAAAGCCCTTCGGATGCCGGATGTGCGGTGGAAGGGTACGTTTTCTCTCTCCCTTTCTCTTTTATGGCCCTAAGTTCAGAGAAACACAATAATTAGATTTTTCCCCCATGCGTCAGACAACTCAACTCAGGGTATTCAGCAATGGAGCTGCAATCCATCGAGTCCCATTTTAGATATTTTCTAACCTTCCTTATATATCTCCATTCCACCGCAAACAAAAGGCCTGTGTTAGCTTTAAAGCAAACATTATACTAAAGCCACATAATGTGATACTAATAAGAAGGTTCTTGATGTGTGATTTGGATTTACATTTGTAAGAAAAAAAATACACTTATATTTTTAGAAAGTACCTGTACTTTGTGTCTAAAATTACTGGGAGCAAATAATCTGGTTTAACCCACACAAATGTCAAAATAGAAGTCACTTCCAGTCTCCCCCACCACAATTTTTAATTAAAATACACTTTATATCTTTAAATTCTTTAACACTTTTCTGGAACATACCATAGCTCAATCTTTTTTTTTAAATTTCCATGTCAGCTATATCAGACTTTAATTAATATTTTTATATGGATGTTATAGTAACAAGTTCTTACTCACTTAGTGTCTTTCTGCTCTTGAAGAAAAAGTCAGGTTCAAGGTGAGGAATTTTAGCTATTTTTAGTTGTCTTCACTAGGGACGAAAATGTAATCTGAGGGTGGGCCAATACATCAGCCCTCCTCTGACTGACAACCAGGGATCCAGCCAGAGAGATGACGATTAGAACACTTGTCTGGATTTCCCTTCGCCCATTTCAGCTTAGGAAAGGTGTCATCTCTCTGGCTGGATGAATTTCATCACCTGTACCTTGATAAGACAGTTATCAGAGAATGAAACTACATATACAAGTGTACACTACTCAGTATTATTTTTAAAAAACTGAACCAATTTTTTCTTTCCTAAAACTGACCTCCTTTTAAATTATCAAATCATCTTAAAGTGGTAGGGGAGCAGTGGGAAACCAGTTTGGAAAACGGCTCAATACTTGATATAATACCCTCCCAGGCAGATAGATGTTTTTATCCTTTCATTGATCTTGTACCCAATCGATCACTCGTTTGGGTACCACACATATAAAGGTGCTCTCGATTCTTATCCTGATCTGAGTAAATAGCCAGTGGTCTGTACAATAATCTTTCTTGTTAACACTTTCCATAAGGCTAAAGTGGAACTCCTGCTCATGTCAATGATCTGGACAACTTCCCAGCAAGACAATTAGAGTTAGGTTTAAAATACAAATAACCTCTAAGAGAGACAAAACAAACAGTTTCTCAAGGCAGCACTGTCCAGTAGAATCTTTTGTGGTGACAAAAATGTTCTAAGTCTATGATGTCCAATATGGTAGCCACTGGCCACATTTGGCCATTTGAATTTGGTCTAAATTAATTAAAATTAAATAAAGTTAAAAAGTAAATTCAGTCTCACAAAACGTATTTCAAGTGCTCAATTATAGCCATTTGAATTTAGATCTAAATGAAATAAAATTGAAAGGAAATTAAGAAAACAATTCCATTTATGATTGCATCAAAAAGAACAAAATACTTAGGGATAAACATAACCAAGGAGGCGGAAGACCTATATACTGAAAACTAGAAGACACTGCTGTCAGAAATTAAGGAAGACACAAATCAATGAGACAACATCCTGTATTCATAGACTGGAAGACTTCTTAATAGCAAGGTATCACTTTTATGCAAAGTGATCTACAGGTTCAAAGCAAACCCTATCAAAACACAATGTTATTTATTTTTTAGAAATAGAAAAGTTCACCTTAAGTTCATATGGAACCTCAAGGGACCCTGAATAGCCAAAACAATCTTGAAAGGAACAAAGTTAGAGATCTTACACTTCTAATTTCAAAAAATATTACAAAGCTATGGTAATTAAAAGTGTCCACTCTGCACAAGAAATAGCACAGATTTGCCTGGTCATCCCCAAAGGCTACTCACCGCTGTGCTGTGAATAGTCCTCCTTCGCGCAGAGCCATCGGGCGGTGTTACTAAGAATTTTGTTCGATCCATCGGATTTCTAGAGTGTGTAGCTTTGTAGGGCATGATGTTGATGGGGCTGCAAGATGCTGAACGAGGACAAATGGGGATAACTAGGGTGCAGGTGATTGTTTTACACACAAGAGTGCCAGAGGAGCAGTTGAAGGAAAGCCAAAAGCAGGTTCAGGAAAAGGAGCAAAGCGGAGATAGAGAGAAAAGCAGGGAGAAGATGTTATTACCTACAGGTATCCAGGCCCTCATACTCAACTCTCCTCACAGTCCTGTCAGTTTGTGGTGTGTCCAAGAGGAAGGCATGTCCAAATGAAAAATCTGGAATATATAAGCTCTTTGGCTATTTAAATACTGATTAAAGAAATAGATGTAATCCAATAATTATGGAATGCAATGGCCTTATATTCCTATAAACTCAAGGTTTTGGAAAATGCTACATTAATGAAAGGTAATTTTTATATAAGGCCTGCTTTATAATCACATTTTTCCTAATTAGCTTTAAGAGTGAACAAAAGGTGGAAAGACAAGAAGCAAGAAGCAAGCAAGCAAGCGACTATTTCAGGAGTAAAGTTCAATAGGCAGTGGTTAAACAAAAAAAAGCAACTGAATTTTAAAAATGTTAAATGACCAAGTCTTACCAGGTGTTAAGACCTGTTTGAAGGATAACTAATAGTTTCTAGAAAAAAATTCTGTGAATGTTTTATCTATTTAAAGTCAAAATCAAATGCATGCTTGTGGATTTTCCCAGAATCCAAAGCATTGAAGGTTCATAGCAAGCAGCAGCAGACTGTATGGGGAAACAGCATGTCATCATTTAAAATGGTGAATAAAACACAAATATGTTAGGATTGCCAAAAATAAAGTTGAATCATGCATAGCTTTACAGTTGTACCCAAAATGGAACATTTTTTTGAAAAATCACAAAGTTTCTGACCATTCACCTTCAAAGGAACACCGTCATTAATCAAGGGATTCTGAGCAATGATGGTTTAAAGACATTCATTCAGACAATAAATACTGCAGAGGTATCTAAAGTGTGGTACTAAGGTTCCAAGGCTCATTTTCAGATATCATCCAGAAACCTTGTTCGCCAGCAAAAAAAAATAAGACAATTAAACATGACCACTGAGGAGAACTGTAGGTAGTGAACTGCTGTAAACATGGTTTTATCCGATTCTAGCCATGGTACAACTCTTTAAAGAGACCATTCATGCCAGCTGAATATACCAGTATTAATAAATTAAAAACTCAAAAGTTTACAAGTCAAATTTGGGGTCATCTTAATTTCAGAGTTAGGGTTTAAAAGTATGTTTATTTTAGTTTAACCTATAGACAGAACGTGGATCAGATTGCACCTTTCACCAAATGCCTGGCAGGATCTCCCGGTTATCAATGGCCAAGGCAGTAAACGGACTGGAAATTGCATTCTCTTTTTCCATTATCTGAACACAGAGCTCTATTTCTCCCGGGTAAACAGAAACATTTTGCATTCCCTCAGCTCTCCTGAAAAGAATATGTGTGTCTTACTTGGGAGTTGACACAGAGCTTTGTTTCAGATCTTAATGGCAAAAGAAGATTTCTCTGTATTGTGAGGAAGGAGGACCTTCTCTCATTTGGTTTATTGTGATCACAGGGGAAATAATTTGAAAATAACCTTTCTCAATGCCAAGGCAAAGCATTTGCATTTCCCAGACAAGGGAAGAGTTCATTAATGTAAAACTCTTCCAAGCCAATCAAATATATTTAGAAAATAACATCCTGGCACAAGGCACTTCTGTAGGATTCATGACCAGGAGAGGCACACATTGCCTAGGGCATGACCAGAGGGCCACTAACCGTGCTGGGGGATCAAGAAACTCTAGACTAGACAACAGCCTTGCTCTGAGGCCATAGGTCTGACACTGAAAAAGGAATAAAGCACAGAAATATGATTTCTTTTTCCGCTAGTGAAAAACAGTTATTTTGGGGGGTATTTATGGAGCAATTTTGAGACCATCCTGGATGTAAACCAATCTCATCATGCCTCCAGTTTATTCTTTATTATGGTGCCGGGGTAACATTAATCAAAGGATGAAAATGTCTTAAACCTATCAGTGTAGTTTACACTAAAATCTTCAAATTCAATTGTTCAAGGAACATTGCCTGGCTAAAATAAACACTATAAATTCCTTCTAAGGATATTACATTTCATGAGCTTCATTGTTGTTCTCGATAGCAACTACTGAAAAACCTGAAACTTTAAGTCAATTATTCTAATACTCTTGCTCTTCTGAAAAAATAGTAAGAGCAATCTTAGTTGTCTTCCCCACTCTCCCAGAATGCTCTCCTTATCTCAAAGTCAATTTGTTACACGTGAAAATTCTTCTATAGAAAGTCTTCCACAATATCTGTATTTTCTCTATCCTTGGTAGCAAGTGTGCCTTAATTTAAATCATTCAAGATTTTCTATATGAAAAGATGGGTGAAGAGAAAAGATAATGCAATTCAAGTGGTTGGAGTGTGCATGGAGAATAGAAAAATTACATAATAGAATAATAATAATATTAAATTATTGAGTGCCTACTATGTGCAGGCACTATTCTAAGCATTTTACATGTATTAACTCTTTTAATCCTGAGCTCTAATAATCACAATCATTTAAATGTATTTTTTAAAATGGGCATGGAAAAGTAAACCCAAAGCAGTAGGTACAAATGAGATTCTGATTTTCAGTTCTCAACTGCTCTCATGGCTTGTTCTGGAAGTTTGCAATCACTGAACATCTTAGGGGTGACTATTTTGATCTACTATTGTAACCCTGGCTCTAGATGTAGGTCATCCTCTTGCCAATGGCAATTAGATATAAGATGAACTCAAAGGGCAACACTAAAATGGGAAGACAAGAAAGAAAAACCAACGAGAGTAGACAGAAGAAGTATTTTTGACAAGATATATGTAAGAGATGTTTACATATGTAATTTCATATGGAAAATTTTAGAAATCAACAGTTTTGGTTCATTAAACATAAGCTGTACTGATGCAATAACAAGTAACAGCGATCTAAGGAATATATTAATGAAACAGGCAACTCAAGGAAAGGCTATACATTGCTTCAAACTAAAGTAAATTAAAGAAATGAATCAATCTGTGACAAGGAGAATGGAAAAGTTGCAAAGTAAAGAAGAACCAGTTAGGAGGTAAAAAGCACCTGGCTGAACATAACAATGAAGAAGGAAGGTGGGAAGATGGGTGGGTAGAATGGGTGGAAAATGAGGAAATGGTGTTGAAAAAGACTAGAGGAAGAGTGAAAGAATTGACAAAAGTTAGTGATGACAGAAATAGCAAACAAAGACAATTTTTCTAGCTGCGATGCGAGGCAGTATTTTAGTATGAAAATATACAATATGGAGATTCATAAGCATGATAGCCATAAACTATTATTTAGATCCTATGAAAGAAAACTGAAAAGCAGTGTTAGAGGTTCTTCAATTAGCTGGACCTAAAGAAAAACTTATATAAAAGTATTCCATTCACAGGCATAAAAAAAGAAAAACTATCTTGAAATAAGGTATACTTTTTCCTCCAGAAAAATCTCAGATGTAACATGACAGCTGACAAGTTACTTTACAGAAAACACAGAACACTGTGGTCCAGCTAGTTGAATGCACAAGGTACACAGAACATCACACGGGGTGCCAAGGATGGAGGGTAAGCTAGTTTAAGGTCCAGTCTACTGATTTCCTAAGTGGCTCTGGTAAATCACTTTCGTTACTGGGTTCCACAGGCAGGTGCTGGGTATGCCTGAACATGCTTTCTCGACTATCTCCCAGGGGTACTGTGAGAATTAGTGTTGATATTAGCTCATTGGAAACCAGAAATGAAAGACATCATAAAACCAAGAATTAGTATTTGTAAGTGAAGAGGTTCGCAGAGGCAAAGTGTCTTTTAAAGGGAATTTTGTGAAGAGGCTATGCAATTCCTTAAGTGCCAATGATGAGGGCTAGTAGACTGGTTATATTGATACACCAGCTGTGCCCAAAGATAGCTGGGAATATCTAAATCAACTCACCATGTGATGTTGCCAAAAGCCTAATACGTATCTTCCAGCTAGATACATGGAATTAATTGGCCCATTCAGGCATGTTTTGCATTTCAAAAAAGTAAAGGAGTTATAATTAATTATAATAACCAGTACTTGGTGCATTTTACATACTATATTTTCAAAGTATGTAACAATTAAGAACACTATAATTAGCCTTCTCCACAAATCTTAAGAGTTTTGGAAGGGTACTCTTCCAAGTTGACATATAAAAGACTGGCACAGGAGTGTAAGTAACCAGCCTACAGCCACGTTAGGAAACTATGCTTAAATCGGCTCGTGCTTTGATTTTATCCCCAAGTCCACGTTAGTATATTAAATTATTTCTGCCTCTGATCATTGGCTTAGATGCAAGGGCAGAAAGAAAGTTAGGGAAGGGACAGGTCTTTCTGGGAATGTTCTGAATGGACAGAAGTATCTCACCACAGGGAGGGGACCCTTTGTCTGCCTGACATCTGGTGTCCAGATAAGATGCTAAGAAGGATGCGAAGAGGAAACAATGCCAGGGGCTTGAAACCAACACCAATAGACACATTTCCAAAGCTATTCCACCCGGAGGAGAGAGAAGTACACATTGGGAAAAACGAAGATGTGATCAGATGGAGGCTCAGATATGCTTCAAAAGGAGGACTTGACGGCCCCAGGAAAGGTGCACCTTGACAGTTTTACCTGCATCTCCAGACAAGGCAGCTGTGCTTTTACTCCTGGCCAGGAACGAGTGCGTCGGCGTCAGCAGTCTGTTAACAACGCTGCTCTCCCATGGGCTGAGCTGCAGGCGGCGAGCTAAACGTCACCACATAAGCAAGATGTTAGAAGCATTCCTTCCAGGGGCAAGAGGGTGCAGAGCATCACACCTATCGCTTCCACATGCCAGCCTTCGAGAGAGACGGGCTCTCTGGCGAGGACAGTGGGTGAAGAGGCAGGGCTACAGGGACCCTACCCATAGGAGCCGTTATTCTATGGCATTGCCATTCTGCAAAGGTTCATTTTGTGGCAGGCTCTATATTAGTTTTATGGATGCAGTTTTCGCTAACCACCCTCCTATAAGCAGTCAACAGATAACACAAAAGAAATGTTATTTCCACGACAGGTTTGGCATGTGTTACCGACTCCAGTCATACCTATCTGCCGTCTGCCCTTATCTGGATGGGCAGTGGACTGCTGGCACACCTCGGCCAAAGGAATTCCTAAGTACCCTGAATAATCAGCGCCACCAGCAGCCATGCCAGCTTAATGCAAGACTGGATTTATAAGTAAATAAAGAGAGAAAGGTCTCCATTACATGTTGATAGATCTCCATGAATTGTGACTCAGGTAATTGGGGGAAATTAAAGATAATAAAACGGAAGAGGACTCATGCACAGTTCTGTATAGAATTTCCTTTTGACTTTTCCATTCAGCAAAGTCGGGTTCTTTCAGGTCCCTGTTTGACAGCAACATAAAATTTTGGGGGAGCGTAAGGGTAAAGTTGAAGCAAGATAAAATTAAACAGAAAAGCCAAAATCCAATAGAAACATAAATTGGAGATTGCTAGTTGGTGTGAAGAATCTGGAAGGTCAATTTAAAATAATGTAATGAAGTATGGTCCCAAATTACATTGGGGCTTGGCAAGCCCACTGTTAGGAAATGCACGCCAATCATAAATTACTTTGCTTAGGTTAGCTTCCATTGATGGCCCATGAAAATACAGAGGCTACTTTCTAAAATTCCAGGAAAGAAGTCTACAAAAACCACTCAAGCGATAGCATATCTTTATTTTAGAACACATTTCCAAGTGACTTATAAAAGATTTTAAAACTGTCTAAACCTGGCAAGGCCATTCTGTTCCTCACGGTAAATAGCAGGTACAAGTAAGTCTCTTTGCCTCGGGAGCAGTCGTTCTTATAACAATCTTTTATATGACATGTTTGAAATGAATGGCATTTATATTCTAGGAAAGTAGTTTTAGTCATTAGAAGCCATCCAGTGTTACATGTGTTACAGAAAATATTTGCTTCTATCTCGAAGAGGTACCAACTTCCAATAAGAACCTTAATTATCTGACTTAAAAAAAGAATGACTATTTTGATCAAGGCTCTGGTGAATTTCATAATCAGTGAATTGTTTATTAGGTTTTTCTGGTTATTTGGAGAGCCTTCATGGTTAAATGAAATCTTAGCTAACAGCAAGACATTAACAAAAAGATCTGTTACAAAAACCAATGTAATAGGTACAGAGGTAGTATAATGTACATTGAGAAACGTGCTAATTACAAATTGTAGTATGGTAGTGTATGTGCGCTTTGTGTATCAACAACAAAAATATTGTAATCTAGAATTACGATACATCCACAGAAGATCAATGGGGAAAAAGATTAGGATTAAATTAAAATCTTCACCAGAACTCTATTTTTAGTAGATGAGAAAGGGGAGAAGAGATGAATGCTTCCTTTTTTAGATAAAATAGAACTGCCGAGATGGTTTATCATTGAAAAGACATGTCCCTCTACCCTACTCCTTCATTAAGTTCAATTACTTAATTTCTGTGCATCTTTAAGGCATCAACCAAAATTTGCCTCAAATGAAGATTAAAAACTCTCTTTGACTTGTATTTAAAGCACATCCGAAGAGATTAAAGCTCTGACCTAGGAATGAATGATTTGCTAAGAGATACATGTTTCCTCTTCACCTTCACAACTATGCCCTGAGCAAAAGAGAGACAGATCTCTTCCATAAGGTAACTTTTTTAGTAAAGGTATGGACAGGAGAGTGAGTTTATGTTTTTTGTTTTATTTTTTCACTTAGAGGGGCCTGATTTTAAGGTGATAAACTCTGGAATGAAGAGATATTAATTCTCATGAAATAAAGTATTGATGCTGTTTATGCACTTAAAAATGAGATTCTGACAATCCTTATAATAGACCACCCGGACCAGGGAGGCAAACAAACATGCTAGATATTTGCACCTGCATATTCCCCATGAGCAGAAAACCACTATTCGGTTCTCGATGATGGAGAAACCAGGGAAATGTTGCCAGGTCCTGATTTTTCATTAAAAATAGAAAACCTAAATGATATATTCCATTTTTAAAATGATGCCAATTAATTCAAATGAAAAAAAAAAAAAGAACAAATCCTTTCCTCAGGTCAGGCAGAACATGCCTGTGGGCAGAATTCAGTTTGAGGTCTACCACACCATGTCCTCTGTCCTAGACTCTAGGAAAAAAAAATGTATAGACTAATTTTAAGCAAAGAGTAGGTGACTTCATTTTTACTTTTTAAAAAAAACCTCCTTACTATTTGCCCTTGAGAAAAAAGCTGGCTAAGCAGGTAACTTAAGTTAATAAGAAATACACATTTTTAATGTAAAAATTTCCAGTGGCAATAGTCACTCTATTGCAGCAATTATAGAAATCTTTGGTAGTCAGGGGTTTCCTTTTAACTCGGGTCATTTTATCAGTCTATGCTGCTATATTCAGGTGTGATAATCAAAATATTTAAAAACTGGTAGGACATGGATGCCACTCATTCGCTCTGGAGGACCTGGGGAAGCACAGCTTGGGGAGGTGAGTACTTACCAACTGGTATGAAAATATTTCAGTATTTTTAATAACCAGTACAGCATTCCAGCTGAATATCAACCTTGAGAATATCAGAGCCTCAGTTTAATACCAGCTCCCAGGCTTGTACTGTGAGGTTGAGAAAGCTCAAACCACCCCTAGTAATGGTATATAGATATAACCTCTAACAGATTAGTCTGTAAAAACCTCTACTTCAGTAATTTAATAAAAATGCTTTTTAATTTGATGATAAAGCATAACCAACTTTTAAAAGTAGCATAAAATAAGCTAAGTAAGTTACTTAAATTTTTAAATTAGGAAGTTCAAATTCAGAATTTCTATTCTTTTTAAAAGACCCAGATTTTTCACTGTCCTCTTGAGAGTTTTGCTTAACTTAAAAAAAACTGCTTCCTGGACCTAAAGGAACCCCTGGATGACCCAAATCTTCCTTTAGGGTCAACCTTATCTCTTAGATCCAGAAACTTTTTGATAAATGGGAAAAAAACAGAACTCCCCAATTTAGCGTCTCCCTCCTATCCTATTGGTCAGCTTAGTATTCAGTTTTATAAGCCTGTACCATGATTCAAGGGGCAGTTTCCTGGCCCCAGCTATGACTTGTTTATTAAACTTCCCTTGACCCTTAACCTTTCCCAAAGGAAGAATGCACAGAGTCAGGGTTGATCTTAGGAAGGGCATCCATGAAGGTAAAACCTGAAGATGCAGTGTAGCAACATGGGTTAGGAGCTGGTGATCACTATTCTAGTCCCTCTTCTCTAACAGTCAGCCTCTAGGATACTGGTTCAGGCCCTGCACCTCTTCGGGACTCTTACCCCAACTAGAGTAGAGGAGTCACCCAACAAATTCCCCCAAGTTCTAAGATTCCCCCCCCCTTTTTTTTTAAAGAATATCCCTTCAGATATTATCATGCAGAACCTATAAAACATCTTATTTCTAGTTGACTCAGCACTGTCCTTCCGAGGAAGTGTGGACAGGATGTTGTCTGGCTTACTGCCCACCTCCCACTCTCAACCTTACCCCAATTTAGCTGTGGACTGTAGGAAGCAGTATGCAAGGTTTAACTTAAAAGTAGTGTAAAATCCCAACTGTAGCTTGTCTGATATCCAGGTTCCCCAAAAGTATGAAATTAGAGTAAGTGACCAGCTCCAAAGAAAAGAAGAATAGACAACTGTAAGAATAGCATTCACATGCTATATTTTAGGTTATATTAGGAGAAATGAGTTTGAAAAGAAAGGCTATTTATGAAAGGAATGTTAATTCATAATACTTTATAAAAGGCTTCTAATTTGACTACATGTCTAATACTGATTTAGGCAAATTAGGTTAAAGAGAAAAAAAAAGGAATGGTTTAAGTTAAAAGGCAAGAACAGGAAGTTGTTCAAACATTTACTGTATTAAGAGATTAGTTATAAAACAACATCAGCACATAGAATATTGTACATTATGACACCATAATTTTTATACAATATAAAATACACAAATACACATACACACATACAGAACATGCACACATTACATTCTTTTTCAATACTACTAGTATAAACACTGAACCTTTCCCCATCAGTTTCTTAATAAAGCACTTAAAGTAACCACAACTTGTTACTTTTAAAGACTATGTATTTTTATATTGCACAATAATTTTTTTGTTTTGTTTTTTAATTTAAAATCATTTTAATTATGTAAAACAAGTAGCTTATCTTAAAAGTTTGGTTTTTCCTACCATGATATATAAAATATGTAAAATAAAACTTTCATTTAATAAATAACATTCATGTACTGTAAATCCATAAGATGAATAAAACTCAAAATTAAAATAAAATGTTAATTGGAGGACTATGATTATTAAAATTTTTAGGAGGCGTCACTGATGATATTCTTGAAGTTAGGCCAAATCCCTTAAGAGTAAATGAATGGAAACCAAAAAACCAGTCACACACACACAAGAAATGCGGCAAGAAAGGTTTGGTTAAATGAGAAGTTAGCAAAATGAAATCTACTAACATGAATCAATTAAGTTTTTTTTTTAAAGAAAATCAAAGACTGGAATTTCCAAAGTACAGATGAAAAGTCAAAGACAGTATGATTGAAGTAAAATAAATGTTCATAACAAAGATTAGTTGCATGTTAGTGGATAAGTGGGTGATTTCTGGAGCTGTAAACTCAGTTACTAAAGAGTCGAGAGAAGCACCGCTTTCATCACTGCTAAATGCAATCATTCAGCCAAGTTCTAAAATGAGAAATGTTCTTGTCGCAAGGAAAATGCTGCTCAGCCGTTTATTGCTTTTTTATTCTGAAGTTTTTTTCTTCCTATTTAAGAAACGCAGGGAAAGCAACTTCAGATGCTTATTTTTATCTGTAAACATCCAGAAAAAAAAGCATTAAGTAAATAACAGAACACTTTTTTTGTTTTCCTTTTGACTGTACCTCTATCTGGAGAATTTAGTAAAGTTGCAGATGAAGAGGAGAGCCGCTTGCTAATGACGGGATCAACATGTTTCGAAAGATTCATGGTGGAAACTGACCGCCTGTCTGGATCTAAAACAAATGGAGATAATGCTAATTGACAGCCAGCATGCAGGATTGCAATTTCCTAGTTCGCTGAAGGAAGGGAAAACTAGGACTGGATGCTTTCAGCTCTATCCCTAGATCTTTCGTGATAGCACAGTTTTCCAAGTGGACATTTGCAAGGTAACTTAAAGGGTAGAAATAAAATTCATTTTTCTTATGGGATAAAATAAATATTCAGCTCACCAGTTTGTCAGCCAGGGAAATTCAAGCGTAATGTTACAATATGAGGAATGAAAGCCAGTGGAAAGCAACTAAAACAATGGAGGCAGACTGTGAAGCAAAGAGAGAACCATACATGTGACAGCCTTTATAATTTCTTGAAGAAGGAGCAATGGGGTAGACACAGTGCTGGTAAAATAGAAAGCAAACACTAGAAGGCAAAGAACACCAGGTTCTGTGTATCTGCTGATAGCTTGGCTCCCAGGTCATTTGCAACCAGGGCATGAAAGTTCATTATAGGAAAACACATTAACAAGAAAGAAGAGGAAACACTATAGCATTTCTATTTAAAAAGTCTGCTAATAACCATGTCTCTAAGCCTAGAACATAGAGTTTAATATGGTTTGCAAAGGTAGAAACAGCCCACAAACTTGCCTGACAAAACAGACGGTCATAGAAAATCAGAATTCCTTCCTTTAAGTATATTAACAATATTGTTCATCCTGCCGTTGAGTAATTTTAGAGCAATTCTTAAAGTTCAAGTCAGAAGAGAAATAGCAGTCATTTAAAAGGCAAAAATCAACTCTATTAGTTTGCTGTCTGTATAGTGGAGCCAAGTTGTAACAATACTCGGTAGCATAAATCGTAGTCCCTGAATAAAATTGTGTACATTAAAAGTTTAAAAAATCTCATTATATTTATTTAGGAGGCAGGTAGATGTTCTATATATAATAGCCAAAGGAGAATGGGTTTTTTTTGGCCATATTTTGTTTTATTTTTCTATTGTTCACATCTTCTAAAACCAAAACAAACCAAAATATTCCTTGTGGGAGAAAGGCTTTCAAAACCTAGTTGCTATTGGTCTAACTAACCTTGTAGTACAAATTTTACAGTAAACTTTTCCGAACAGAATAACCATTTTTGGCCATTAGTTACAGCAAGTCTTCCACCAGCATCAGACATTTCTATCTCCTACTGGGGCTCATTTTATGGTTGAAGCATTTACTTATTAAAAAAATCCAAACATCATTTCTGTGACTCAAATTTATTTATACTTAACTGATGGGCCCTTCGGGTGTTCCTAACAAAAAGATTCAGGATAAAATGTCAAAAGGAACACCTTAATTATGAGGTTCAAGCGCACAAGGGAGGATAATGAAAGATATTTCCAGTGATTTTATAGCAATACATTTTCTGATATTGCTGTATATGTTAAGCTCTAATTAAAGGAAAATTGTGTCTACATGTAGGTCTAGCCTGCATGGTTAAAATTATGGGGGTATAATATGTATTTATTACATTATTTTATACATAATAAGATAAGTTTTAATAATTTCTTTTTCTCATTGAACCAAACACAAATTCAAGAAAGGATTTTTGACGAACTGGCTTAAACAGTACAAAGTTTACAAGCCAGTGCTAGTTGATGTGCGAGCAGTCAGACAACACACTGATTTAATCTGATTAAATTTAATTTCCAGGACCTGTTTGTTGGTCATGAACACTGAATGAGAACCACCAGGAGTCAGGCATTGCTGTGTAGTAAGGGGTATTCAAAATGAGGGAGGTCTGGTTGTTGCTCTCGAGGTCACAGTAGACCACTTTGACCTTTGAGAATTTTGGTATATTCCCATTATTTCCAAACTTCTCTCGTCTATGTAGCAGCAATGTTCTCTCATCCACAGCCCTTGTAAAAACGAATTTTATCCAACAGTTTACATTCTCTTGCTCTGAGTGACAGTACTAACGGTCATTTACTGAACTCTGAGTGCGAGGGAACTTTATTTCCCTTCAAAGAAAATCTGTAACAGTATACTTCTGCCTACACATGAAAAACAAAGCCAAGTAAAAGAAAAAACAGTAAAGTTATAAAAATATGTACCATGACAGCTTTTCTACATGGAACACGTGTATAAAACTATCCCTAGAGTGAAACATCACCCGTAAATGATCCTAATGATCACAGATTTGACAGGTGCCCCACCAAAAAAGAGCCAAGAAAACTGCTTTCAATTGTGATTCACTCTGACAGGAAAGGAAATTGTGGTAATATGATTTTAGACTTTTTTTTTTTTTTTAACATGAAGGGGTTATAGAAAATACACTGAATGTTAGGAATGAAAGAGAATAGAGAAACAAACAAAAAATCCATTAACATTTACTAGTAGATTACAACTACAAGTGGCTGCACAAGGATGGAATGGGGGTGGGGAGGGGAAACCAAACTGGATGTGCTTTGATCCCAGGTAATTTATTCGCTAAAAAAATTTTTTTAAAAGTTTTATCTTAAAAAT